TATTAAAGTCTGTTTCAATACCAAGGGGAGGAGGGCTACAGGCTGAGACAAGGAGTCATTTACTGCAACAGCTTCCTTGAGTAAAGCGTTGATCTACTTTGGGAAATGAGCTGAGTGGGAGAGCTGGCTGCTGCTGGTTCCCTGTGCTTGCAGAACACTTGCATTCTTTGCAATGACTAAAGCTGTAAACAAATTCCTTTGACAGTGTAATAGGGAAGCAGCGTGTGAAGGATAATTAGAAGTGTATACGTAAACATGCAGTTTGAGCTTACAGTCTTAATATTTTAACCACCCTGAATGTAACTGAAGAAGGGTGAAAAAGACAATGGCAAAATAAATACATTCTGCATTTGCAGGGAAGGTAAACATAATGAATAAGTAACAGAGTTATGCTATCTTAACTAGCTGGCTTTAAAAAGCTCAGAAATACAACATTCAGAACTTATTTCTGATTCAACTTTAGCACTGCTTCAAATCATCAGCTGAATAAAAAGCTTGAACGAAGAGGAAGCGTTTGATAATACCGTGTCTGGCAGGTTAAAACAGTCTGGCGTATGTTGGTCTATCATGTAATGAAAGCCAGAGCTACTCTGTCACCTCAGAAATAGATGTTTGGAAGGAACCGAGACTGTTTGGGTGTGAGGTTTTTTGGTTTGGTTTTGTTTTGTTTTTTGTTTTTTTTGCATGGAGAGGTAATCTTCTGCCCACTGTAATGAAATTCTGTTCTTTGCTTCCTTCGAAGTCGGGGGTGGGGACAGGCGTACTTCCTTCAGCTCTGCTAACACGTCCCAAGGGGAGCACTAAGCCGTGGTGGGGTCTTACCAGCTCCCCCAGCTCTGCAGGTGTGCAAACCTGTCCGTCTGCCTGCTTGGTGAGCAGTTGTTTGGGAGAGGAACAAAATTCTCTTTCGGAAGCACTTGCTTCCCTTCCCTCCCTCCCCCCCTTAACTTCCCATCACTAGAAGCTACTCTGGTGCTGGGCTTTCATCTCTTAACAAGAACACTGACAAAATACAGGTACGTTACCTCCCTTCATCGTGCACTTGACACGTTGTGTGTCTTTTATCCTGTGCTATTGCCTTTTGATTGAGCCTCTAGGCTCTTGTGAGAAGGGCACCTCTGGACAGAGGAGTGGTGCCGTGGTACAGTAGCAGTCTGCTACATTTTTATAGCATCTCCTTGATCACCCATCCTATGCTCTTTTTAATCTTTTCTTATAGCAGTCATCTAGTGTTCCGGAGCTTGAATTACTAGTATCCGTGAGTGTGGTGGAAAATGGGTATGATCTGCCCGTTGTTCTGTATCTTCTGAGCTCTTGAACTGTTAGCCTAGTTGAACTCTCTAAAGAGCAAGTAACTTCTATTTTTTTTTCAGTCTAAACTCCTATGATACTTCTGCCCTTACCTCTGCTATGATCACTTCTTGACTCTGTTGTAGCTAAACTCTGCCTAAAACCCAGCTGCTGATCTTCATCTTCAGCTCTGTGTCCGAGATGCAACCTTGCTGCATCCCAGTGGGTGTTGTAGGGCTCGGGCACTGTGTTTACCAGCGCTCTGGTAAACCACCATAAATGCAGCACGCTTCAGCCCATGGGCCTTCGCCTTGCGTCCTGCGTTCTCAGCCATCACAGGAATTGGGTGTGTGCCATCTCCTTGGTCGTGAGGGATTTCAGACTCAGGTCAGCTCAGTTCACTTTGAATTTTTTCACTAGTGGTTTCTGTTGGCCTGCGGCCTTCACAGCTGCTCGTTCAGCTGGACTTCTGTCCCTGTGCTGGAGATGACCTAGGAAGTGGGCGTGTAGCCTGTTGCTGCCCGAGAGATTTTAAGATCAATGACTTAATGATGGAGATAAATCTATGAATTCCAGTCAGTGTTTCTAGTGGGTTCTTGGCTGGCTTTTGGTGTAGTCAACCGACATTAAAATATCCACATATCAAAACACACTGCTGATGTTAACAACATGAAAAATAAATTGCCTTTAGAGCAGGCGGGCAGAAAGGGCTGGACAAGCTAGGAACAAGCACGTCCCAACCCTTCAGTGCTCTTTAATCTTTGATAGAGAGGTGTCCGTGATGGACAGCTGTCTGAACGACTAATCAGGAAGAACACAGACTGAAACCTGCTGGAGGCTTGTTCAGCAAGGTGACAAAACTTTGTGTGATGGCCAGCTGTCTGAACGAGTAATCAGGAAGAACACAGACTGAAACCTGGAGGCTTGTTCAGCAAGGTGACAAAACTTTGGGGTGGTCTTTTTTTTGTTGTTGTTGGTTTTTTCTTTGTCAGCCTTATAAAGTAAAATTTGCATCTGTTGCTGTGTACTCGTGTTGAAAATACAGTTTGGCAAACCGATGGGGAAGAGCCTCTAAGCATCTGTTTTCCTGCAGCCGTTTGTGACGTGCCTGGCTGTCCCGGCTGATAAATGGCAGCGCCTCTGTTGTGTGTATCTGTCTGTGCCTTAGTTACGGTACAGACCTTAATTTTATATGTTGTTACAGCTGCCTCATTTAGTGCCTGTGCTAGATGTGGGTAAATAGAATAAGCAAATAGTGCTGGAATCAAAGAGTTTCTGGTTGGGTTTTGTTTTTGTTTTTGTTTTTTTTTCTTTGTAACCTGTTCTTCTAATCGTTTTGGCTTGTATTTGTACAGAAAAGGTGTCATGCGTAGTTCTGTGTGTAGCGAGAGTCAAAACAAACCCGTGGAAGTTCTCACCTGCCTGACCTGTGGGGTGCGGGTTTCTCTGCTGCTTCGTGCCCAGGGAGCGATGCCCTGGGAAGGCAGCTGGGTTCCAGCTCGGTTACGTTCCGATTGAATACGCTCAAGGCTAAAATGGAGCCCGCAAGGACTCTCCTGCTGCCTGAACGGAGAGAGCTGCATCACCGGAATTTCTGTGGAAAACCTGGGTCATTGGGCTTGCTGCAAGGAAGCAACAAAAACGTTTTCATGAAATGCGTTTTTACTTAAAATACTTTTTTGGTGCATATATGATCACTGTAGCTATTACTGTGTTGCTGTCTGCTGGAGAAAATAAACCACTGAACCTCAGTGCTGGGTTTGGAGCGTTTTCCTCGCTGGTGGAAACCTTCTCGGGGGCAAAAATAGCGAGGTACGCCAGCGTGTGCCCCCTTACGGTGTCGGTGAAGGAGACGAGGCCCGTGGGCTGGAATCGCTTCCCTGCCTACTCGGGGGGGGGGGGGTTTCCCCGGAGCCGCTCTCGCCTGCCGGGCGCCTCCTCCCTCCCGCGGCAGCCGGGG